AGGCTCTAGATAGCATAAAGTTGGATCTTGTTTCTCATCCACAGTGTCAATGTCTGCCTTTTGATTGAAGTATTTAATCCATTTACATTTAATTTAATTATCGCTATGGTTGGATTTATCTCTGCCATTTGGCTGTCTGCTTCCGGTATGTCTCATGTCTTTTCTCCTTTCCTGCTTCCTTTTGTATCAAGTAGATACTTCTTTGAATAATTTTTCTGTCCCTTCTCTTTCTCCTCTCCTTGAACTCTGATTATGTGAATATTAATATGTTGATTGTTTCCCACAGGTTCAAGGCACTGTTCATTCCTCTTCCTTTATTACTAACTTTTGCTGTTAGTCTTCAAACTGGATCATTTTTACTGATCTACCTTCAAAGTTCCCTGATTCTTTCCTCAGATCTGCTGTCAATCCCTTCTAGTGAATTTTCATTTCGATTATTAAACTTTTCAGCTCCAGAATATCTATTCAGTTTTTTAATTAATGAGTATCTCCTTATGTATTTTCTCTAATGAGTCATTTTCATCATACTTTAATTCTTAACATGGCTTACTTTAATTCTTTTTATTTTGAATTCTGGCTTCCTAAGTGTTGTTCCTGGGTCACCATATCTTAGTGATCAGCTAATACCCGGTCAGAAGTGGTGCCCAAATGCCTTGAGCCAGTGGGTCTGTGTGTGGGGTGGGGAATGCATTCGAGGCTCTGGCAGTTTACCAGTCTGCCCTGGGTATTCCTTTCTTCTGGGCCTTCTCCTGTCTCCTCTGCACATGTGTAAGTCCTCATATTTGGCCAAGAATGAGTAGATAGCTAGGACCCTCTCTGGTCTTTCCTGAGTGGACACAGCCCTGCACATGAGCAGAATCTTCTAGACCACAAGAGGCATGTGACAGCTGATCAAGGTTCATGTGTCTGTCTTGTTGTTTCCTGATTCTCACTCAAGATTCTGGCTGGTGTGCCTTGGATCTGGGAGAGCTGGGGTGGCCGTGCTGCTGCTGACCCACCCATGTCCCCTCAGCCCACCCGGGTCCACCTGCAGCTGGGGCAGCTGGTCTCCATCAGGCCACGGCATCCCCTGAAACGCCCACATGTGTCCTTCCTTAGGGCTCTCTCAGGCACCACGGGGGCTTCCTCTCCTACACACTGCACCAGCCAGCAGAGCAAAGGCATTAATATTCCAGGGCTAACCCTCTGCCCATGGGGACAGAGCCCATCCAGGTGGGACCTGGACTTCCTGTGAGGCTGAGTGGGGTCCCCACTGCAGGATTTGCTCAAGGTCACTCGCCAGCTTCTCACCTCCAGGTCCACCTTACCCGGTGATCCCTCAGGCTTCCTGGGATCATCTGCAGCAAACAACATGTCCCCAAATCCCTGTCTGCTTTCAGAGACCCAAACTCTGCCAAGGTTCCACACTAGCTTTGACCTGAGCAGGTGTCTCCACCTTCTGGACACGAGTGTCCTCATCTGTAAGATTTTCCTAGTGCTAAATCATGGAAATATTTCAAGAAAATCATGGCTTTAAACACCTTCAGTAGAACAAAAGCCATCCTGAACATTTGCCTCTGTGCCTCTCCACATTCTGTTCCTTATTTCCACACTGTTAAATCGGTGCGTACACACAGTCATGGGTTCAGGGAGGTCCGGGAGGGCAGCTTCATGTTTGTTGAATGAATGAGGCCCAACCAGCTTCTTCTCAGGTATCTGAATGGCCCTTGGGCTCTTCAGCCCTCCCCAGAGGGTCCTGCTCTGCTATACCCAGGATGGGAACCTCCCACATGGAACCTGGAATGCTCTCTACAGGTGGGAAAACTGCTTTGCACTTACAAGTGAGGCCTGGGGCAGAGAGTTTCCCCATGGAGGGGAGAGGAAAATCATAAATAAGAACACCACAGACCGGGTAGCCTGTTCCCCAGAGCCAGGCGTGAGCAAAGTGCTTTCCATGGCCCGTCCCACCCAGGCTTGACAGCAGCCTCACCAGGTCCTCTTAGCTCCCAGTTCTCACACAGACCAGCCGAGGCTCAGAGGGGCAACATGGCATGACCAAGACCCACCGTCGGTGGGTGTGCGAGCATGGATCCCCTGTGCAGTGGAGTGGGACATGCTCGCCTGTGGAACAGCAGGTCTGGCATCTGTGGGGTGGGGGGCAAACCTTCCACACGTGCCCAGGAAAGCAGGAACGAGGAACGGTTGCTGCTCTGCCCCCAGGTGACGCTCTAGCTTCTCCGTGGAGCTTGCGTGGGGACTCCCACCCTGCAGGTCTCATCCAGGAACAGGGCTGACTCATTTTCATTCTGGAGTGGGCCAAAGGGAGGATGGCCCAATGTGAACAGGAACAAAATGCAGTCGCTCATCGCCATACTATGAATTGGAGAAATCTAGGAAGAATTTCTTGGCTATTCCTATAGGAATATGAAAAGTCACTTTGCACCTGGTCAAGTTGGGGCCAGACGGTGGTGAGGTGAGGGCAGGAGGAGGCCTAGGGTGCTGGGATTGGGACTGTGGGCCGCTGGAGAGGCGGAGTCCTGGGAGGACCCTGGGAGCCACCTGGGGGCATCTGGGCAGGAGGCCTTCCCAGCCACTCAGGGGCCCAGGCTGTGGAGAGGTCCCCAGGACACTTGTACCCCCAGCCAGCGCTGGCCCTTGTTGGTGTCGAGGAGCCCCTATCCCTCACTTGGGGAGAGAGTGGGGGTCGCCCCCTTGGCCAGGGTCCTGCATGGAGCTATGCAGAGACAGTGACCTAGGAACATCAGAGCCGGGCCCCGCCCTTGTCACTTCTGCCCCCCTGACCTTCCACTCCCCGGATCAGCCACAGAACCGTGTCCGCGCAGACCTCCAGCCAGGATGACGTGAGATCCATCTCAAGGGCTGGGGCCCACATCAGCAGAGGGCATCGGCTGGCCCAACTGGCCTCGATCCTCATGGGCCCCTAGGCTCCTGCCCCAGAACCCTGCTCTTGCCCAGGGCAGGCCCTCCCCTCCTATCCCCTCCCCCCACACACCCAGGGAGGGGTGCAGAGGATCACAGTGGAAGCCTGGCCTGTGCTGATGGAGGGGGCTGCCCTGAGCTCCTCCAGGCAAATGGGGTGGGAGGAAATCCTCCGGGCCTCAGGGGTGGGAGTGGCCCAGCCTCAGCAGGGATGGAAAGGTTCCTTGGCCCTACCCACCCCACCCTGCCCTGAGCCGGCTCTGCCAGGCCTGTCCTCTGGTGGCTGCCTCTGGTCTTCCCCACCGTCTGGAACACCAGCTGGTCCAGGTACAGTCCTGCCACAGTCCAGAGAAGGCCACCTCTAATGGGGTCTGCAGGCATCGTGGCCAAGGGAGGAAATGGCTGGGGGGCTCCTCTCCCCAGTACTGAGGCAACTCCCTTGCCCTTCCCCAGCCTCAGGCACTCTCACCGTCTCCTTTGGCCTCTTCTGAGGGCTCTTGGGGTTCATCTCCAGGGTGGAAAACTTGGAGGGCCCCTCCGGGCAGAGTCAAGGATGGGGTCAGCGAGACCACATCCCCTTAGCCCTCAACCCTTGTTTCACCCAGAGTCCCTCAGAATCCTGGGAGGTGGCTCTTTCCACTTCCGGAAGGGGCCCTTAGGCACAGCCTGGTTGTCCCAGCATGGCCCCCACGGCGTCTGCGCTGCACCCTTCCCGTCCCTCCCTGCCCCTCATGGTCACTGGTGCCTGCTTATCCACTGGGTCATCCCTTCGGCCAGGGCCCCTCTAGCCCTGGAAGCCCAGCAAGCGCCCACTCGTGGCTGTTTAGCGGGTCCTCGCCAGCCTGTGCCGGGCGCAGGGGCCAGCGGGAGGAGGACGGCAGGAGCCAGGCAGGTCATCAGCACAAGGTAAGGGGGACCAGTCGGGACCCAGGGAACCTGCCAGCCCCCATCATTCTTACAAGGTTTCTTGGGTTAGCCACAGCACTGCCTGGGCTGCTCCCCTCCACCTGGCCTCAAAATTCATGGCCAGAAGAGACCGCCCATCCCTCCTGTGTTTGCACCCCACTGTGTCTCCTGCAGTCCCAACCCCCGGGGCTGCCTGCAATGCCCTCCCCCACCGCCGGTGGCTTAGCAGGGAAGGGCCTGGCCTGGACCCAAGCTACAAAGGCCTCTTCCGGAGGAGGCCCAGTCGCAGCTAGAGGGGCACCTCCTGGAAGCCCCCAATCAGTGCCCAGTGTTTGATACTGCTGCCTCATTGCCGGGGTCCTGGCTCCCCACAGCTGGCCTCCCCAGCATGGTGGGACAGGAGACCCAGCTCAGGGTATCTCACCTGCACACCCTGAGAGGGATTCCGGGGGGAGCCCTGGAGGGGCCCTCACTTCACCTGCCTTTATACACCTGCATCTTCAGACTTCGCCTTTGCAAATGAAAGCCATGCTGGCCAGAGACCAACCTGAAGCTCAGCTCCCCGTCCTGCCCACATCACAAACCCGTGACACCCCCGGCGACCTCTACCATGAACCCTCGCCAGCCTAACCCTGAAGGGACAGGGATGGACGCTGGACTCCGGCCTCCCATCGCCCTGTGCTGCTCTTGCAGGGCAGGCCTTGCCCTACCCAGGGCACTAGACTCCATACAGCCTCGCTGCCCGGACTCTGCCGAGATGGCTCCTTGGGTGGTCAGGTGCATGGGGGAGGGGGGCCTAGGTCCTAAACAGCTCGGGATGGGGCAGAGAGGAGGTTGCAGCTTGTCCCAGGAACATGGCTGTGTTCCCACAGGTGAGGGGTGTTAAGCGTCCCTGTCAGCACGTGCCCATCTTTCCTGAAACTGGGAACACACCAAGCCTGTTCTGATGAATGAGGCTGGCCGGGCTGTGGGCTTGTCAGGAGCTCCACTACTGAAGATGGTGCCCTCTAGTGGCAGCTGGCACCTCTGCTGACCTCATTCATGCCCCTCACACACACAGTGCCTGTCCCATCTCCCATCACTGGGGCCCCAGTGCGTGCCTGAAAAAAAAAAAAAAAGCCATACCACATGGACGAAAGCAAACGCACTCGAGGCAGAACCCCAAACTCCAAGTCTCATTTTGCCCAAATCTGAGTTTTATTCTTGCTGGAATCAGGTCCTCTGGCCTGGCTGTCCCACCAACCCAGCTGGGAGCCTCCGAGCAGCTTGCCTGCAGCATCTCATTACAATACAGCCCCCTGGAACCAGGCAGCCAAGGAAGCAGCCCACCTGAAAGGCATTTAGATTGAGAAGAAAAACTGTACCTTCCTGACAAAGGTCAGGGGTCAGGGTGAAGGGAGGGCTGCTCGGATCACAGGGACAGCAGCGTCTTCCAGCAGCTCGGCCACACCAGCCATTGAGGTCCTAACTGCAGCCCAGGGGCCGTTCTGTGCACATCGCTCACCCTCTGTGCTCTGTTTCCCACAGAGCAAATGCAGAGGCAACGTCGGTCTGCTCAGTCACTGGTTCTGAGGCGGAACAGCGGATGTCTGCACTGTGACGTCAGCTAAGTAAGTAACAAGGACTGAGGATGCCGTTGACCCAGGGCTGAGGAAGGGGACTCCCAGCTCAGACAGGCTTGGCTGCGGTTGCTTTGGGAGGAGTTGAGTGAACATCACAGGGAACGGCTCATGTCAGTCCCAGGAGGGTGGGCTGGCCCCTGGTCCCCGGGCTCCTTCTGGCCCTGCAGGCGATACAGAGCCTCAACCTGCCGCCGCTTCTCCTTGGCCCGGGTGATGGTCGTCTGGAAGAGCCTGCAGTAGAGGTGCACAGCCGGCGGGGAGTCGTCGTTGCCGGGTACGGGGTAGGTGATGAGGCAGGGGTTGCAGTTGGTGTCCACGATACCCACCGTGGGGATGCTCATCTTGGCTGCGTCTCTCACGGCCACGTGCGGCTCAAAGACGGTGTTGAGCGTGTGCAGGAAGATGATGAGGTCCGGCAGGCGGACGGTGGGGCCAAAGAGGAGGGGCGCGTTGGTCAGCAGGCCGCCCTTGAAGTAGCGAGTGTGGGCGTACTCGCCACAGTGGCGGGCCGTGTTCTCAATCAGGTACGAGAACTGCCGGTTGCGGCTTATAAACAAGATGATGCCCTTGCGGTAGGCCACGTGGGCGGTGAAGTTCAAGGCCAGCTGCAGGTGCGCGGCTGTCTGTTCCAGGTCGATGATGTCCTGGTCCAGGCGGTTCCCAAAGATGTATGGCTCCATAAACCTGCCAGAGACCCCACCAGGGCAAGGGGGATGAGAGTTCACCGGGCCAACTCCACTGGCCCCTTGCAGGACACAGACGCCCACCAGGGACTCCCGAGCTCCTCCTCAGGGGCACTATGGGCTGGGAAGCACAGTTTGCAACGCTCCCCGTGTGGACAGACAGCAGTGCAGACCTGTCCAGGCCACCCCTCTACACGCCTCGTCTCATGGCTTAACCCCTGCGACCCTCTACTTCTTCCCGAGGGAGTCCTGATAGAACTGACCCCATATGGATGTGTGGACATCCAACATGACACCAAAAGGACATTCAGCCCCGTGCGGCTCACGGGGCAGCCCCCTCCGTCACTCTCCTCTTCCCGAGGCTTTGAGGACAAGGCCCCGCTGGGGTTGGACTTAGGGGGGTTCTCTGGGCCAAAAGCATTAAGGAATCAGGGCAGGCGTGGCCAAGCCTGGGAGGAGAACCCTGATCCAGGGCACTGGACTGCTGCCGGCCTGAGCTGAGGAAGAGCGGGGCATGGGAGACACCCCTGCCTCTTGGTGTATGGCTGGCGAGTCATCCACATTTGCGGTTCCCAGGTCCTCACCTCCAGTCTACTCCCACTGGGTTTTGTCCCTTCCTCTCAAGCAACCCTGCCCATGAAGACACTGGAGACCTCCATCTTACCAAGGTCACACCCTTGAATTCACTTCTTAGCAGCATCAACAGACAACCACATCCCTCTACCCTCAGCTGTCCCTCTTCACTGACTCCAAACACTGGAGTGCCCAGGGCTCCACCTCCGACCTCCTTTTCCGATGCTCTGGAAACACAAGTCCCCGATGCTGATGGCTCCCTAGGAGCCCATCCCTCCTGGTACCCGTGTGACCTCTCCACTGGGGCAGCTAAGAGTTCACACCTCATAGGAACCAAGCTTGTGATGGCCCCCAGGTCCCCCCCAGTTTTCACCATCTCAGTAACCAGCACCAGGCTCCAGGCAAGGAGCAGGTGTTTGATCCCTTTGGCCCCAGCCACCTCCGACCCCAGCCCAAGGCCCACTGGCTCCACCCTGCTGCCTCGTGTCCACCTGCTGCTCTAGCTCTTCTGCTACTGCGATTTAAGCCTCGCCACCTTCACCCTGGACACCCACACCAGCTTCCTCCCTGGCCTCCCACCTGCCCCTCCCATCCCCTCTCCCCGCAACAGTCAAAATGACCATGTGAGAATACAGGACCAGTCACTCCTCCTCCCCACAGCTCAGAAAGCCCTGCCCAATCCACGGGGGCCAGCCTCACAGGCTCTGCCCTCAGCCTTTCCATTTCTGAACCCGTGGAGTTCTGCATCCCCCAGCAGGCCTGCCCTACTAAGGGCTGTAAGCACCACGCCAAGGCACGCAAGAGCCCCCGCCAAGCTGGGGAGTGAACTGCTGCTTCTGTGTGGGGCTCCGTGTTCCCATGTGGAGGAGGAAGGGCTGTAATCACCTAAAACTGACATGGGCCAGTTCAAAAGTGGTCCTAGAACCAGGGCAGGTCCCAGGTCCCAAGCCCTCCTGGGAACCGCTACAGCTCAGATGGGGGTGTCACCTACCTGTGCCGACAGCCAGCTTTGTGTCCCAGATGCACCCGGGCATCAAAGAGGCTTCTCACGGAAAACAGTTCCTTGACATTGAAGAAGTCAGAGTGCTTGAGAGGCTCATTCAGAATCTTGTCGTTGAAATCTACGGCAGGGAAGAGGAGCGACGCTGTGTCTCCCACCCTTGGCAGCAGAAACAGGCAGAGCGCAGTTCCCGCCCACCCCTGCTCCCAAGTGCCTCCTGTGACACCGCGGTGGGCAGCCGGGAGCCCCCCAGCCCCAGGAAAGACCTGAAAGCATAGGGACCTTTTCAGGAAACAGAGGGCTGGAGCCAGATTCTGATCCCGACCTTGCTCCTGGGTGAGCCTGGTCGAACCTGGTCAACCCCGTCCCTTGGTCTTACTTGGAAGACAGAAGAGAAAAAGAGGGGCCCAGCGGCTTTCTCAGGTCTTTCTGGCACCTCCCCACCTTGTGGTCTCAGGTGGCCAGCACGGGAGGGGGAGGAGCCCGGCCGGGCGCGCAGTTTCGAGCACGTGCAGCGCCCAGGCCCCTGCAGGGTTCGCATCTCCCACGACTGCTGGCCTCTCCTCGTTCCTACCTGACTCGGCTGGGCGCCCAGTGTTACCGGTGCCGTCCTCGGACTCGCGGATCACAGGGGTCGCCGCGCTTCCAAGCGTCCTGCGGCTCGGCCGAGCAGGCCCGGGTGTCGCCTTCCCGAGGAACCCCAGCCAGCGCGACGGGGCCCGGGCACCTGGGGGAAAGCAGACAGAGGTCCTGGCGCCGCGTCCCGGATGCACCACGCCCGCCCCCACCGCAGCCCTAACGGATCCCCTCTGCGTCCCCGCGCCCTCCTCGAGTCCCCTCCGCGCTCTCCCTGGGTCCCCTCCGCGTCCCCGCCGCTCCCTCGGGCCCCCGCGCCCCCTCTGCATCCTCCTCCCCAGGGACCCGCAAGCGCGCGCTCACCCGCGCCGAGCATTCGGGGCAGCGCGGCCGGGGTGGTCGCCATGGCGGGGACGCGGGGCGGAGCGAGGCCTCCCTCCGCTCCGGACCGAGCGGCCTCCCCTCCCGCCGCCGTCCGCGCGGGGCCGCAGTGCCGCCTACAGGCCCGGAGGAGCCACAGCGCCGTCCGCAGGCTGCTGGGACCTCCCTGCGGGGGCGGGGCAGACGAGGGGGCAGGGCCCGGGGTCCCGGGCCGGGAGTGGGGCCACCGTCCTCGCCTTGCAGCTCGCCCCGCCCCGCTAATGGGCCCGGCCAGCCCGGGAGGCCCCTGACCCTTGCGGGAGCCCGCTGGGCGATGGGGACCCTCGCCTCCCGCCACGTGAGCTGTGAACCACGTCTCGCTCAACCTCTCGCTCTCCAAAACTGTTTTTAATATTTAAACGATATTTGACTTAGAAGAATTTCATAAAGTTAGCAAGATCTCGGGTCTCAATTTAGACTCGGGGTGCTGAGGGGCATATCATCCCTGGAGTACATTGCACAGCAAGCGTCCAATCGTTGTCTGCCGAGTGGACCTGCAGTGCTTAAACCCCGTCACCCGGCTGGCGGGGTCCCAGGCCCTGGGGTTCCTTTCGCCCGGGAGTCCACGCCCCCATGCTGGGGTGACCCGGTCCCCTCGCGGGTGGCTGGGGGCCAGGGGCTGCCCCATACGACGGTCCCAGCAGGGAATCTCTCGCCGTCCCGACCTTCCCGGTCCTTGGGGACTAGCTAGGCAGGTTCCCGACCCGCCCGCGGAGGAGCACCGCCCAAGCGCGGCGCCTTTAAGGTCCCTCCGCTCCGCCCCAGTCACGTGACCTGGCCGTCGCTTGGCAACAGGACGCCACCGAGTCCCGCTTTTCGAGGCGCAATGGCGGAGGAAAGCCCCAGAGCGTGCGCGGAGCCTGTGGAGCCCAAGGCCACGGCCCCGCCTGAGAGGACCAGCGACTACTACCGCGTAAGCGCGGACCTGCCGGGCAGGTTCAACAACCCGGGGTGGTTCCGGGGCTACAGGTGAGGAAGCTGGGGCGCGCCTGGTCCTGACGTCCACTGCTCCATAGCCCCGTGTGTGAGAGACCCCGCAAGACCCCCAAGGTCCTAGCTGCAGAAATCAAGAGGATCGAGGGGTCATCCGGGGCCCGCGCTGTCATCGCCCACTAGTGAGCAACGAAAGTGCTCCCCAGAGCCTCATACAAGGAAGTGGGAATAGGGTCAGTGAGGGGCAGGGCCGAAGGGGGAAGAAAACCCAGTTGTGGCCTCAGCTCCACTGTTTTGTGCCGGGTGAGTCTCCTCGCCTCTCTACCCTGAAACCCCGCTGCGGGGCGTGAGCACAGCAGCACCTGCAGCAAGTCTACGGTCTTGCTGTAGACTCAGCCAGCTGTGAGCTGCCACAGGGCATTGCAGGCTAAGAAGCAGTAAGAAAATTCCTGTAGGCAGGTGCAAGCATCTTGCCGTGCTCACACATTTGGTCCCTCAACAGTCCTCTAGGGCAGGGTCTGTTAGTATCCTCGTTCCCCCATTGAGACGACTGGAATGTAGAAAGAACAACTTGGCCAAGATCTAGGAGTATAAAGTAGAGCTAAGGTGTGGGCCTGCAGCCTCTCAGTAGCCTGTCCTACTGACAGGTAGGGGCAGTGGTACCGAGAGAAGCATGACCTCAGCGAGGGTGGGGGCTAAAGGCAGAGGGACCCTCTGGGTGGCAGGGTCTGGAGGCCTCCGCTCCTGACAAGCTAAGTTACCCAGAAATTGCAGCATGTGCCAAGGTCCTGCCAGGGCTGGGGGTCAGCACTTGCTGGCTGCCTGCTCTTTAGGGCTTTGGCCTGCCTTGGAAGAGGAGGGATAGTGGTGAGCAGAGGGGGCTGGGGAGGCCAGGCCATTCAGAATGGTCATCAGCCAGGTACTCCCAGAGGCTGCCTTTGAGGCTGCATCACCAGCCCAGGCACATTGCTCTTTCTTTGGGGGCATTTCCAGTGGAGTGCTGTCAACCAAATACAAGACTGTGGTTTGTGCAGAGTTAGATTAAATGAACGAAAAGAGAGTGTTTCTCATCTACCAGGACCCAGAAGGCTATCTCGGTGTACAGGACCAGTAACCAGGCTTACGGGAGCAGAGCCCCCACTGTGCATGAGATGCCCGTAAGTGGGATGCAAGATCGGGCATGGGGGGGGCGGGGGGGCAGCCTCAAAGAAGAGGCTAAAAACCTGGGGTTCTCAATAAGTCAACAATGAGACGGGGAGGGGTGCACCCAGAGAAGAGGCCAAAGTTCCAACATCACAAATGGGGAGGAGGGAGGTTCCCCAAATCATTTTTGGGAGAGGGTAGGATAGAACTAAATGAGTGAATGAATTTGGGAGTGGAGTGTTTTAAAAGAGGAGGATATAGAGTTGCTGACATCACCCTGTCCCCACACCCCAAAGCACACGCACAGCAGTCACACACACACACGCAACCATCTCCTGCAACTTACAGTGCTCAGTTCTGAGGCAAATAAATGAAGGGCTACTTTTTTTCTGGAATTACACTTTATGAGATGTTAACGTGTGACCTTAAGAGGGCAGTACTGGCTGACAGCACAGCTTGTGGGTGGGCAAGGTGTATTGTGGGCACAGGAGCCTGTGGGCCACTGGGGAAGCCAAACCCTTTTTGAACTTGACCTCAGACTCCAGGATGACCCTCCTAGAACCTCCTCACACCAAACCCCATGAAGGTCCAGGTGAATGGACAGAGGGGCTAGTGCGGTGTCTCCTGCACACCTGGGACACTGGGCCAGCCATTTTGGGGTGAGAATGTTGTGGGTGTTTTTTCTTTGTCAAAGCATTCATCATTGAAAAGGTCTGCTGAGTGCTTATTTAGTTGTGTTGTGTGAGTGACTGAGCTCTGGTGAGAAGATTACTTACCTGAAAATGCTGGAGCACTCTCCCATAATCAAACGACCCTGAGTTTTCCCTGGGGATCAGGTATTTCTATGACAAAGACCAGACACAGCTGGGCGCGGTGGCTCACGCCTGTAATCCCAGCACTTTGGGAGGCTGAGGTGAGAGGATCACTTGAGGCTAGGAGTTCAAAACTAGCCAGGGCAACGTAGTGAGACCCCATCCCTACAAAAATAAAATAAAATAATTAGCTGGGTGTGGTGGCATGCACCTGTAGTCCCAGCTATTCAGGAGGCTGAGGTAGGAGGATTGCTTGAACCCAGGAGGTTGAGGCAGCAGTGAGCCATGATCGTGCCATTGCACTCCACCCTGGGTGACAGAGCCAGACCCTGTCACCAAAACAAACAAACAAAAAACCCAGCAAACTCACTAATATGGGTCCAGATGTTTTAGGTTTTATAAAAGGCCATGAAAAAACGTTCCTATTGTAAATGGTAGGAGCCTTCAGGTCACTGATGTGAGCAGGCAGTGGAATAGGAGGCATGAGGTACTCTTGACAAGTTTCCAAGGAGGTTTTCCTGCTTCTTATCCACCTGCTCCATCTGGAGTCTCTTTTCCAGTTTCGTGACCAAGGGTGGATGCCGGAGAAGCTGTTTACCTCCCATGTGAGAACAGGAGATAAATACTTTGCATTAAAAAGTGCACTGAAGGGCTGGGCGTGGCGGCTCACACCTGTAATCCCAGCACTTTGGGAGGCCGAGGCGGGCAGATCACCTGAGGTCAGGAGTTTGAGACCAGTCTGGCCAACATGGCAAAACCCCGTCTCTACTAAAAATACAAAAATTAGCCGGGCTTAGTTGTGGGCGCCTGTAATTCCAGCTATTCGGGAGGCTGAGACAGGAGAATGGCTTGAACCCAGAGGCGGAGGTTGCAGTGAGCTGAGATGGCGCCATTGCACTCTGGCTTGGGCGACAAGAGCGAAAACTCCATCTCAAAAAAAAAACAAAAGAAAGTGCACTGAAGGGAATTCCTCTCCATGATACTGCAAGGGTGGGTCCATGTCATGATACATTTGTCCCACCTGTAGAATGTGGACTTTAGTTACTAATAAAGTATCAACACTGGCTTCACTGTAACAAATGGGCCACAGGAGTGCAACATGCTGAGGACACGGGACACTGTGTGCTGAGGGAGGTAATTTGGGAACTCTCTGTACCTTCTATTCAATTTTTCTATAGATCTAAAACTTCTCAAAAACAAAAAGAAGTTTTCTCTTTGCACTTGTTTCTTGCCAAGGAGATGAAACATGAGACAGGATCCTCTAAGGACGACAGGTCACCCGCATAGGGCAAAATATTTGGCAGAGGTTCAGGCCACTAGCTTCAGGCTTCAGGAATGTCACAGTCACCTAATGATGCTGTCTTGCTAGAATAACTCCTACGGCTGGGTGCCCGCCCACACGAGTGGCCTCAGTACACCCCTTCTCAACCTCCATAGGGCAGCCCCTGCCCAGACCACTGGGCTGGTGAGGTGTGGGCATTGGTGTCGTTAAAGCTTTACAGATGATTCAGATGATTCGAATTCCCAGTGAAGGTTATCATCTTTTTTTTTTTTTTTTTTTTTGAGATGGAGTTTTGCTCTTGTTGTCCAGGCAGGAGTGCAATGGCACGATCTCGGCTCACTGCAGCCTCTGCCTCCCGGGTTCAAGTAATTCTCCTGCCTCGGCCTTCTGAGTAGCTGGGATTACAGATGCCTGCCACCACGCCTGGCTAATATTTTTGTATTTTTAGTAGAGATGGAGTTTCACTATGTTGGCCAGGCTGGTCTCAAACTCCTGACCTCGTGATCCACCTGCCTCGGCCTCCCAGAGTGCTGCGATTACAGGCGTGAGCCACCATGCCCGGCCCCAGTTAAGACTGAAACCCACTGATGTGAATATCATTTCTATTCCATAGAAGAGAAAATGAAGTTCAGAGAGGGCTGGCAGCTTTCCCAGAGTAGTGCAGTGAGGAAAAACAGACCTGGGGGTGACTCCAGGCCTGACCCCCAAGGCGATGCTCACAGCCACATCCCGAGGTAGAGATGGCACACAGGTGGCCCTGCAGCCCACCCTTCTATCCCTCGAACAGTGCAAGGGGCAGTGTTAACAGCAAGTGCCAGGCATCGGGCATGGGTTAGGATGGTCTGGGGTGAGCCCATTCATCCGTGTTCATTCATCTGTGTTCCTTCATCTCTTCTAGAAAGTATTTTATCCAAATTCGAATAAATTT